AGGAGTTTACTTACATAGCTTTCATAAGTGAAGCACTTGTTAATATCACCATGCGATGATAAAAACTTGAGGATCTTTTTTTCGCTGGTTTTGTGTGGGCAGTTGATGAGAACGGATCTTTCTGCCTGCTCTTGTCTTTGGACTTGGACAGCGTAAAAAGACAGACGTCCATCCTTTTCACCTGCTAAGAACAGAAGGAACAATTCACCAACGACTTTGCACCAAAATGCATTCCCATGTTTGCTACTAGGTTTAGACTCTCTATTCTTGTAAACAATTGACTTTTGCTAGTTTATGCTGTTTGAAAAGGCGTTGATAGGCGCATATTCACAGGCCCAGTGGTCGACTGGTTAGCATGTCTGCCTCACAGTGCAGAGGTGCAGGGTTTGATTCCGGCCTTCCTGTATGGAGTTGGCATGTTCTCCCCGTGCCTGCGTGGCTTTTCTCCGGGTGCTCCGGTTTCCTCCCACGTTCCCAAAGCATGCGTGGCAGGCTAGTAACACTCTTAATTGTCCCTCGGTGTGATTGTAAGTGCAAATGGTTGTTTGTCTATGTGTGCCCTGCGATTGGCTGGCAACCAGCTCAGGATGTCCCCCGCTGAATGCCTGAAGACAGCTTGTATAGGCTCCAGCACGCCCCGCGACCCTTGTGAGGATAAGCGGATCAGAAAATAGATGGATGGATGGATGGAAACCACCCCATAGCTGCCACATATCTCCTCAAAGGACGGTTATTATTTTTTCCTGACCAGCCACAATTTGAATCATGTTGGATTTGTTCTATGTTCCGTATTGTCGTGAATGCAGGCTGAGTGGTAAGCACCTTCTCATCAGTTTATATAGTTAGAAGTTCAAATGCATGCTCAGGCCGTCCTATGTTGAGTTTGCATGTTCTTCTCTTGCTTTGCGTTTTTTTTTCTGCAAGTATTTTGGCTTCCTTCCACTTTCCAAAAACGTGTGTAAGTGAAGATTTTAAATTGTCTGTAGGTGTAAAGGTGATTGCTAACAACTGTTTGTCTCTAATTGACTGCTGACCAGGCCAGTGTACAGTATTTCCCACCTTTCAGCGAGGTTAGGCTCCAGCTCACCCCTAACCTTCGTGAGGATAAGGTGTCGACAAAAACTATGGAAGGACATACAGTAAATGAAGCTTGGTTAAAATCATAAAATACTGAGTTCATGTACAGAATCAAATCAGAAACATCAAGAAGATAAGTCTTTTTTCAAAACAAAGCCAAGAACCACTGAACTTGCATTATGTAACAGTCAAAATAAATTACAATTGCGAAGTTGGCAAGAATCACTTTCCCAGGGTGAGAAAAGCAGCTTGCATTTGGAGTGAGGGCATAACTCAAATCTCCCACTGATATAATCACTCTCAACCTGCACATGGAACCGCATGACCCAGGCCACCACCAATCTCCAGCCCAGATCAATCAGAGCTCTTCAACACCAGCCGTTTCAGCACTGAGACCACCCTGGCCTGCTATGATGCTTTATGTACCCACCGCACAGACATAAACCTAAGAGAAACAGTGGGCCACCATGAAAAAAATACAGTCAAAAAAAGCAATTAAACATACAGTAGTCAGCAGATAGTACTACAATCAATAGACTCAAATTCAGGAAAATACATTTCCCAACAATCTCCAACACCTTTGCGGCTGTTAAATGCATGAGGTTGGAGCAATCTTCAAAGTCTGTTCTTGCAGAAAAGCAGACTTCTCCAATCTCTTAAATGAAAGCATTCATCTCCCATTAAAGCGGCTCCCTCTTAGGAGCCGGCTCATGTCGTTCACTTCAAAGAGCCGGCTCTAAGAGCCCGCTCGTTCGCGAACGACACATCACTAAGAGACACCAAATGTAAGTTTACATCATAAAATTTGAACACAACACTTATTTTATAACAGAGATAAAATACGGTATGTTTGCTTCATAGTTGAAACGTAATTATGTTTTTTTTCATTGGTATTGCGAAGCAAGTAATTCACAAAAGAAATTTTCGAGTAAGGCTCATCGTTTAAATGTTTTGCTTGTTTCAATGAGTTACCAACAAGCAATAGTAAATCGAAATGCTCGCTGTGAGTGTCAAAAGAAAAGAGAGGGAAAACGAAAGCCCTCAAGGTCACGTCAAAGGGTGAAACATGCGCAATGACACATTTTCAATTTTCCACTGTGCAGTTCCTCTCAGCAGCAGATTGGTAAACAGAAGCCATTCTCCGAAGCGGACGCAAGTGACGAACTTATGGAGAGAAGTCGCTCTTGATACCAACGGTAATTACAATCTCTCTTATTATTATGATGTTGTTTTCTTCACTTTGTGTGTAATCTAACGTTATAATAATGTGCTCTGAGCAAGTTTACAAAATAATGTTTTTTTTTCCGTTTGTTTGTTTTTTTAACCGAAAGCTTACATTCCATTCAAGCGGACATCGATACGTCACTTGGTATTTTTGTAGCTGATATAACGGGATTTGCTGTGCAGTAAACTTACATTATCACATGTTTTGAGACAGTGATTCGTTGACATTTTGTTGCCATTTTATTTTTCCATTTGTTTAAAGCAGGGTTAATGCTTATGTCATTCACATTATTAGTGTACTTATGAACCTATCTACAGTATTTGACACATACTTTTGTTTTTATGTTACAGCGAGTGGGACAATTCCATGCCCACAAAATGGAGTATAACTATGATAACCACATAAAACTGCTGTTGGCACATATGAATATTGAGGACATCATTGACGCTGCAGAGACTCTCTACCAGCTTGAGGAAGCAGAAGAGGAGGAAAGCAGCTTGTTGTCTGAAGGGGAAAGTTTGTCTCCTGTTGCAATGGATGGGAATGAAGAGATTGAAAACTTTGTGAGTCAAGAGTCGCAGGAGGGTTACACAGGTGGGGCAGGAAGTGTCCGGCATGGGACAGTGACAGACCTTCTGTCCTTTGTTAACTTGCTCTCTCACATGCAAGCAGCAGCACTACAGCACCTGCCTGAGGAGATGGGAGTACTGCTGAATAAAGTGAGTATAGTTCTGTCTCTATATCAAGATGAACCATTGCCGGACATAATATCTGCCTCACATGATGTCTCGCTGCCCAGACAATAAACGCATCATTTAAAAAAGATTTCTCAATTTGGGCGAGGATATTGCAGTTGTATGAGGGGCCAGACCCTTTATCATACTTTTTAAATGCCATATGTTATGATTTTATTTGCAGAATGATATGGTTGTAAAGAATGGGCGCTATAAGATCAACAAGGATGTGCTCCTGTTTCCCTGGCAATTGACCTACAAGAATCGTGGCTCTGACCTCGTACCTAAAGGCTCCTTTGGGAAAGTTCACTTAGCTCAGGACATCACGACTCGGAAGAGAATGGCATGCAAACTGGTACGTCCGGCTGGGATGTATTTGCAAGTACTGTGATTCCCCCCACCCCACACTAAATGAAAACTAGTGTCAACATGTTTCTCTTAAAGCAAAAGAGGAACAGAGTTCTTTGAAAAACCTGCGGTATTGCAAAATGAGCAATGGAAATTGCACGAATGGAAATATTGGAACTAATCACACAACTGCACAACTGTGAAACAAAATCTATTTGTTTAACTTTTATTGTAGCACACACGTGCACACATGTATATTCAGTCATCTCACATGGGAAATATTTACAACCTGGGCTTTCCCAGTTAGATAAAGCTGTTGACTTGGTGCACTCTCATGTACACACACACAGCCAATACGGTGGCGACAGCTTATTGGCACTGGTATGTATTTTAACACTGATTTCCCAGCTATCAGCTGACAGTGTTTTACAATACTGTCATCATTTCATTATGATCTGATGACTGCCATGCTGGTAGTCAACAATATGAAAACTCATGCTTTATGTTGTAATCTAATAGTTAAGTGTTATTTATTTATACTTCATTTAATCATTAAATGTCCTTGACAGTCAATAGAAACTCTCTCCATGCTTATAACAACACACACACACACTACGGGTGGTAGTGATTCTTAAAACAAAATGTAACATTCCAAATTGAAGGGTATCAACATATTGTGTTCCACAGATTCCCATGGAGAACTTTCGAGGGGCCGAAATTGAGTTCCAGGCTCGCTTTTGCCATGAGAACATTGCCAAACTCTATGGGGCTTTGCTGTGGGAACAGAACGTGCATCTCTTCATGGAGGCTGGCGAGGGCGGGTCAGTCCTGGAGAAGATAGACAGCTGTGGGCCAATGAGAGAGTTTGAGATTATCTGGGTGACCAAGCATATCCTTCGTGCCTTGGAGTACCTGCACTCACACAATGTCATCCATCATGACATCAAACGTAAGTGCAAAAATGGCTGACCTGTTCACAGTTTGAGAAATGTATCATGGTTCTAGAAGGCATGCAATGCGAGGTGTTATTTTGTGTTTATGTTCTTTATTGTTGGCATACGGTTATTTATTTAAACAAAATGGCTTTTTTTGGGGGGGCTGGGGATAGCCACATTTTGTGTCATTTTCATTTAGTTACCCAATAACACTACATAGCAACGAGACTGTGGAATGCATTGGTAATGCTCCCCTTGAGGACCCCATGTCATATACCTTTTTTATCTCTTCTCTCTTTAGCCAGTAACATTGTTCTGATGTCAGACAAGGCTGTTCTGGTGGACTTTGGCCTGACTGTGCAAATGACAGAAGACCTCTATATTCCAAGAGACCTGAGAGGAACTGAGGTAAGAAAATTAACTGGTGTGCGATAGAATCTGGTGACTACAGTCCCAGTTTACATTCTGTTTTCCCTTGGCTTGACCCACGTGTGATTCCATGTCAAGGTCCTGTAATCCTTGCACATTTTTTGGTGGAAAGTCCCAAAGCGGGCTACCAGTAGAAATAAAATGAGACAGCATGCTTGCAGTCACATTTTTTTGTTCAAGCCAAAATTACACAGCGAGCTGGAATTTCCAACACAGAAAGAGAATCTGCTACCGTGTTTACTTTCCACACACGATTACTTTGATGCAGCTTGTGTGGGTCCAAAGGTGCATTCATCTTTTGTCACAGGAAAATACTCACTACACACCGCAAGCACGTGTTTTCCCGTTTGTTGTTTGGATTTGAAGACAAATCTTTCACGTTCTTCTGCAGCACGATTCTTGTTCTAGTGTCCTTCACATAAAGCTCCCCTTATTTTGTTCAGATGTACATGAGTCCAGAACTGGTTTTGTGTCGTGGACATGATACCAAAACAGATATCTACAGCCTGGGAACAACCATCATTCACATGCAGACTGCAAACCCCCCCTGGGTTAGAAGATATCCACGCACTGCCTACCCATCGTATCTTTACATTGTAGGTATTTTTATTTTATTTCACGACACCACTATGCAAGCCACAAGGAATGTCTTCATGTCACCATATGTGGGCCGACATCTGTTTTCCATTCCTCACGGTCGGTTTCAAAGAAGATAATCAGATCTTTTGAATGCGACTCAGTTACTCACTTCCTCTTGAAACTGTTGACAGAGAATAAGGAAGCCGTGTGATTCATTGAAGTGCCTATGAATTCATTTCATCTCGCTTTTCAGCAAGTTTAATAAGTTAAAAGTTAGGGCATCATTGAGAAAACGAAACTGCTTTGTTGTTTTTTTTGGGGGGGGGGGCATTATTATCAGCCTCGAATGTCTTCACTACATCTCCCCCTCCCATAGATCCACAAGCAAGCACCCCCCCTGGAGGACATATCAGACGACTGCAGCCTGGCCATGCGGTCTTTTCTGGAACGAGCTCTGGAGAAGAACCCGACACTCAGGAAGTCAGCATCAGAGCTCCTGAAGGATGAGGCCATCAACCCGCCCAAAGAGGACCAGCCCAGGTGCTGGAGTCTCGACTCAGCCCTGGAGGAGGCCAACCACGCGATGCTGTACCAGCAAAACCAGCAGGATGACACCGCACAAGGTACTCTGCCACTGAATGGTATCATGTGACTCCGTTCGGCAAGCAATGTAAATATCACTTGATACAAAGAGCTATTAAATCCTGATTATTTTTTTTCCCCGGTTGATCAATTTCTGTACCAATTAATTGGATATGTTTTTCACGTTTTCCTTGCAGACTTTTCACTCGATGCTGAAGTCTCTGGCCCCCTGAAAAGGAATGGCTCCTTATACCTCGACCTAGGGGCCTTGACTAGCTATTGCCCGCTAGTGACAGGACCCCCTACTTCAGAATATGGCTAACATTTCCACCATGTCTTTATGTATATGGGCGACCATTGGTTTAGGCCAGCTAATAATATACCAAAAAAACCTTCTTTAATTGTCCATTTTCACTGTTGCGGACCAGTGCCTACTGTCAGAGCAATGGACTGCTCCAGCGGACACCGCTCACTGATGACCTGTTTACGAGACTCACAATGACTAATTAGCTTGACTTTCAAGATGGAGTTGACACTTGTGACTCACAACACTGCAGGACAGTTGGATGAGACACATTGATATCTATTTGTGCGTGAATTGTTGCTAACATTAAGGACGTTTTAAAGGCTTTTATAAGTGTCATGTCTCTAAATGTTTTTGCCTGGTCGTCTCTCTATAGTATTTTCTCCGTGTGTGCAGTCTGGAGTCATGACTCATTTAGTTCTTCATGGACTTCCTCATTTTAATTCCTGTGGAATATCAACAACATCATCATGTGATACCCAATTTGTGTATTGTACATCCTGTGAGATGAGCACTTGTGTGCTTTTTATTACATTCAAGTATTCAAAGCAAACGTTTAGTTTTTGTTGCTTCACAAGCAGATGTAGATTGTTTTGTGAAGCAGGTTAATTTCACCCTGCACTGGTTGCCAGCCAGTCGCAGGGCACGGACGAACAACCATTCCCGACGTTATTTATATGGTGTATTTCATACACAAAGGAAGTCAGTGAGTATTCCGGTTAATGTATCAGGACCAAAACCATTCAGCAATTTATGGACCAGTAGCAGAATGTCAAAATCTTTTCTACAGCTAATTGGGAGCCAGCGCGAAGCCTTCAGGAATGGAGTAGTATGTTCTGATTTTTTTTCTGATCAGAACGCGAGCTACAACATTTTGAATGAGTTATCTTTTTTTTCCGCAATGGAGGCATTCTATAACAAGAATCATAAAAATCCAAAATCTAAGATACTCTCCCTTGCAAGGTTTGGCTGACTCATCGCTGCGCAGTTTTACTAAAACTGGAACCAAAAGTTGAGATTCAGCTGTGGAGAGCTTTTCAGCTCAGAGCACTTAATTCAATCAACGTGTTCAGGCTAGGAAGAATAAATTACAATATCATAAGAAGGTTCTTTTTTTTTTTCAAATGCTCAATTTGTAAGGTGAAACTCATAAGTAGAATACAATAAAATACATCTTGAAAACAACTACACAAATGTATTCAACATATTGGGAATGAAAATACAACTCAACTCAACCCAACAGAAAACACAGGAAAATACTTTTCAGAAGTCCAATTCCTACTTTTATTTTTTCACGTCAAGTACCAAAACATTTTGTAGTGGCTTATGATATGCACGTTTTATGGGGGAAAACATCAAAAACACTTGTTTTTGATGAAAATTTATTCCTACTTCCACGTTGCTTTATTGTAATGTTGGTCATGATGTTGGTATTTGGAGAGCTAATTGTTCTTTGAGGTGGAATTTGATGTGGCAGCTTGAGACTGTTCTAATGTATTGAGACGTGTCAGCAAATCAGTGACACGAGGAACCGAAATCCGATTACAAAATCATGCAAATCTTGTCTTGTCCTACATTTACCGTTAGATGGCAGGCAAGTCAAAAGCGTTACTGTACTGCGTTTTACCACCTGAACGTTTACACAGTACTGTACTGTACAGTTTAAAATTCAAGCTTTAATATCTCCATTGTCTGTGTCCAGGAGCAGCGCAGTGTCAAGCTTGGGGGCAAGGACAATTTTATTTCCAATGTTTGAGTAAGGGAATTTTAACAATCATTTATCCGTAAAAAAACAGAAGTAAACGCCCCCCACCGACACACACATGCACACGCACACTTATGAATAAATATAAACAATACTTTTACACGGAGACTTCGAATATCCTTCAATATAACTAACGAAAGGAGTAATAAGCATTTCATGGTCCACGCTATGAAAAAGAATTCCAACGGATCGTCTTGGAGAGAGGAAATGCCCAGGACCAGACAGTTGGGATATAGCTGACGGATATATTGTGAAAATCATAACCGGATGTTGATATTATTTTACGATTGGCTTGACTATTCATACACGGAGTACCTGTTGTTATTGAAGAAGCACGCGCTCACATAAACACAGTCACACTCATTCACGGTAAAGATAACGTCACTCGTAAAAGGGGAGGCAAAGGCAAGTGCCCTCTGTTTAGACTCGAACAAGGACCGGACTGGGATACGTTCGAATTGCTTCGCTTCCTGTGGACTATGTTTTGTTTCATTCATTACTAACCCTGGACCGTCTTTTCGCGTTTTGGAACTTGCAATGTTTCCGGACTGTGCATCGGGTTCGTATGTGCTCATATGACGAACTTCTAGTACTTCATCCATAAACGCTAAGTAATGTTTTCCAAATGTATCAAGCTTATTTGTTTTTGTATGCGCTATGCACACAAGAGAATCACATACTGTAACACTTTTTTTTTTTTTTTTAATTGATAGAATAGTGTGTAACATTGTTGTGACCCCGCGGCATTTTGCACGGACGTATGAAAGGATTCAGAATGCAATTCCCTATTTGTACGAACAATTCTCATCGTTCATGCCAAAATGTGACGAACTCTAGTGCAGCATGGACCACCAATACACGGACTAACACGAGACACAGAAGATTCAGGCATTCGACTTCGCGTTGTTGACAAGCGTATACTTTTATTTGTCAACGCCTCAGCAAATCTTAACACGCCTTAAAAGTAAATTTGCATAATTAAAGCGATCGAACGGTGGAATTTATCGTTTAAACGTGCTTTGATTTATTTCGTGGTGTCAGACTGTATTCAGCAATGTGTTTTAATTATAACTATTTTCCCTAAGGTGTATCAGAAACACGACTGGCAGCAATTTTGTCACAGCTTTTAAACCGAATCTAAAAGTAACACTACAGTACTGTGCCTGAAAGCCATTAAATCCAGGTTTTGGCATTGATTTGTAAATGTGTTACATCAGCAACATCACCTCACCCCTCCTATCCTTCATAAGCAGCACTTGTGAACTACTGCAGATGACATTCTTGTTGCTGATAAAAACAATGTGAGAGGTGGAATTTGATGTGGCAGCTTGAGACTGTTCTAATGTATTGAGACGTGTCAGCAAATCAGTGACACGAGGAACCGAAATCCGATTACAAAATCATGCAAATCTTGTCTTGTCCTACATTTACCGTTAGATGGCAGGCAAGTCAAAAGCGTTACTGTACTGCGTTTTACCACCTGAACGTTTACACAGTACTGTACTGTACAGTTTAAAATTCAAGCTTTAATATCTCCATTGTCTGTGTCCAGGAGCAGCGCAGTGTCAAGCTTGGGGGCAAGGACAATTTTATTTCCAATGTTTGAGTAAGGGAATTTTAACAATCATTTATCCGTAAAAAAACAGAAGTAAACGCCCCCCACCGACACACACATGCACACGCACACTTATGAATAAATATAAACAATACTTTTACACGGAGACTTCGAATATCCTTCAATATAACTAACGAAAGGAGTAATAAGCATTTCATGGTCCACGCTATGAAAAAGAATTCCAACGGATCGTCTTGGAGAGAGGAAATGCCCAGGACCAGACAGTTGGGATATAGCTGACGGATATATTGTGAAAATCATAACCGGATGTTGATATTATTTTACGATTGGCTTGACTATTCATACACGGAGTACCTGTTGTTATTGAAGAAGCACGCGCTCACATAAACACAGTCACACTCATTCACGGTAAAGATAACGTCACTCGTAAAAGGGGAGGCAAAGGCAAGTGCCCTCTGTTTAGACTCGAACAAGGACCGGACTGGGATACGTTCGAATTGCTTCGCTTCCTGTGGACTATGTTTTGTTTCATTCATTACTAACCCTGGACCGTCTTTTCGCGTTTTGGAACTTGCAATGTTTCCGGACTGTGCATCGGGTTCGTATATGCTCATATGATGAACTTCTAGTACTTCATCCATAAACGCTAAGTAACGTTTTCCAAATGTATCAAGCTTATTTGTTTTTGTATGCGCTATGCACACAAGAGAATCACATACTGTAACACTTTTTTTTTTTGCTTTAATTGATAGAATAGTGTGTAACATTGTTGTGACCCCGCGGCATTTTGCACGGACGTATGAAAGGATTCAGAATGCAATTCCCTATTTGTACGAACAATTCTCATCGTTCATGCCAAAATGTGACGAACTCTAGTGCAGCATGGACCACCAATACACGGACTAACACGAGACACAGAAGATTCAGACATTCGACTTCGCGTTGTTGACAAACGTATACCTTTATTTGTCAACGCTTCAGCAAATCTTAACACCCCTTAAAAGTAAATTTGCATAATGAAAGCGATCGAACGGTGGAATTTATCGTTTAAACGTGCTTTGATTTATTTCGTGGTGTCAGACTGTGTTCAGCAATGTGTTTTAATTATAACTATTTTCCCTAAGGTGTATCAGAAACACGACTGGCAGCAATTTTGTCACAGCTTTTAAACCGAATCTAAAAGTAACACTACAGTACTGTGCCTGAAAGCCATTAAATCCAGGTTTTGGCATTGATTTGTAAATGTGTTACATCAGCAACATCACCTCACCCCTCCTATCCTTCATAAGCAGCACTTGTGAACTACTGCAGATGACATTCTTGTTGCTGATAAAAACAATGTGACACCATGCAGGTTCTTTGTTCTGTTATTATAGTGAACATCTTTTGTTAAAACATGATCCCCCATGGACTATTATAACACTCAGTCTTGTTCACTCTTGCTTTGCAGAACCCTTGATCCTTATGGTACGCCTGTGTTCAGTTTGATTCTCGAGTAGAACCACGGGGGCACAAGCTTAAAGGCCTAAGGGCCAAGAAAGCATGCTTGGGGCCATGCTGCGCCAGAGTACCGGCGGAGGATCCGGAGGGGGTGGTGGCAGCGGAGGAGGAACCAAACTCCCTCTGGGCATCTCTCGATTTTCCAGCTCCAGTTCGAACACTGTCACTTTGGGCTCCTATGGGTCGGACAAGATGTCCAAGGGCCGCCCCATGCACTCACCCAATCTCGAAAGCTTCACCTCATACTCGAACTACATCATGCAGACGGTCAGCGATGTACGCAAATTTTCTGATGGGTTGATCCAGTTCAGAGGTGTTCTAGCCTCCAGAGGTATGTTCGGAAATTATGTCTTTACGAAATGTCTTTGCTTTTTGTATGTTCTCTTTTTTAGTAAATGTTACTATGTGTACTTTAAAAGTAAATACAGTGTCAGGCCATAGCCTTGTCTAATAGAAAAATTGAATTTGCTGCCATCTTTTGGCATAATAGGCTATTATCAACCCAATTATGCATATGTGTGTGTGTGTGTGTGTGTGTGTGGGGGGGGGGGTTGCTATGTGCTGGTCAATTACTTGCTGGTTTTTGCTATTGGCTTGAGGTCTCGCTCCCTGCCCCTGAACATTGTACTCAATTTTTCAGGTTATATTTTATTTACGTGAAGACTTACGGTCTATAGATCCATGACAGTGGTTACATTTCTGACCGCCCACGCAAAAAGTGAAATCCAAAATGTAATAATACTAATGAAACACAAAAATATTGTGCAAACAGTATTCAAGAATAGAGTAATAACACCTGTTAATGATAGTTTGGCAATTTACAAGGATTGTGAAAACTGAACTGTGATATTGTCAACCCAGTGTTGTGTACACACTGTTGCTTTCATCGTAAGACCTGCTTTGTCCTGTTGAGACCTTGGCTGCGGGGCCACTCAACTAACCTTATCTGTTTTATTTGGAGGTTATTGCCCTCCTATTGGTAATAAACCCAAGAAAATGTGCTGCTGACAAAGCATCGTGAATAAAGCACCGGTTTATGCATTTTCCACAAAAAAAAGTTGAGAGGCATTACAACTGAGTAGAAAATGCCATTTCCTTTTTCTGTCACTCGCACTATTTCTACCGTTGGGGCGGGATGGCTCAGCGGTAGAGCGATCATCTCCCAATCCAGAGTTGGCGGTTCAATCCCTGGCCATTGCGACCTTGTCGAAGTGTCCTTGAGCAAGATAGTGAACTCCTAATTGCTCCTGATGCTGCATCATCAGTAGTGACTGTAAAGCGCTTTGAGTACCTGAGGTATAAAAGCTCAGTGACAGCCCATTTATCATTACTGTGGCGCCTTAAAGAGAAAATGTGAAAGTTCCTTCGCTTTCACATTCAGGTGCATTGGAATTGTGTTCTTCCTTGGTCCTCTTACCAACCAACAAGTAACGAATTGACAGCAGCACTTGCTGTGTCATGATTGATAATGTGAGAGAGCCGAAAACGAATAAGTAGTTGCTCTCCTTTGACTGATTGTATAAAGTGTGAAGAGTCTGACGACCTGCCTCGACTGAGAGCAACAGACGCTTCTCAATGTAGAGAGACTTAGTCAAACAAAACGTAACTGCTTAAGGTGACAAATGTGACAAACCTTCTTAGCTAGACAGAAAGAAACCGGTTCATGATTGTTGCTCTGCTCGCTCCAACATATAATTGCTGTGAAGTAGGAGTGGTAGAAAAAAAAAGATTGTTTTCCTCCATAATCAGTCAGTATAAGTAGGCAGTTCTTAAATGCTGGAAGAAAGAAAAAAGTAACCGGGATGTGTAAAGGTCACCTTTAATTTGGTGCACATACATCACATAACAGAGCACCTTAGTGCAAGTAAGCAATGTTGTACAGTCCATGATCATCGCGGCATTTTTTTTTCACGGCATACAAGAATGTCCTAAGTATTTTGACGCAAATGAGAATGCATATGGACACACACAAGGCACTGTGCATTCTATCACTCATGCACAGCAATCATGCCACAGCGTCTTGAGAGAAGAGCAACGGGATGATTTTCTTAAAAAAAAAAAAAAAGAAACATTTGTGACTTAATGCTGCAAAATCATTTTTTAAATATTGGCCAAAAGAAATGAATTCACCTGTCAAGCTTCAAATTGAAATGCCTTGGTTATATAAGAAAACTTGTTCCGTAAACATGGGCTCAGTGACGCAGAGGCGGACACTTATAGTAGATGCCAACATGTGACCGAGTATTCTCGTTGGGGCGTGTTTTAGCTAAATACAGGAAAAGACAGATTTGACGAGCCTGATTTGGATTTGGTTGTTGTGGGGGGGAAAAAACATGTGCCAATGTGCCTTGATAACATGACAAAAGTCTTGGGGAAAAAAAATCTAAACGAAGAACGCTCATTGTCTAGGCACGGGTATGATATTTGTATAGCGGATTAATTGATTTTTGTTGAGTGATTGTCGATGAAGCCTGTCTTGAAGCAATCGGGAATGCACTACTTGTCTGCAAGCATCAGAGCCACTGTTGATTCAGTGCCGTCTGAAGAAGGCCATCAAAAAGTCAGCGACTCTAAGAACAGCTCCATCCAAGCGGATCACGGCAACGGCAGCGTTATTCTGGTCCGTGCGCCACTGGTGTTGAAGCAGGACTTGACACATAAATTGTGCCACAAGCTAAATGCAGTTGTCGAGGTTTGTCACCTTGTCCAAAATAGCATATGGCGTGGCTGTTTAATTGTATTTTATTTTAGCTGCAGTCATCGAGGAGCAACGTTTCATTTTGTTCTCATTTCAGTGGGAAGACGTACACAATGCGTCATTGTTTAGGTTTAGTATGGATACTCGGAGACAGCTAACAGATCGCTGGGAGTCACTGACTTGCATTGTGATGGAAGTGATTTAAAGCCCTCTTTAATTTATGGCCATATTGTCCGCATGCCGCATCACTAAAGTTCAAACCTTTCATTGCTGCGGTCACTCACTAAAAGTGAAAAAAAAAAAAAAACCCTCGCAGCACTCCCCTTCCTCCTCCGTTTACCACCCAGTGCCAAGCAATACTCGGCTTTTGCTCTGAATTCACAGTCAGTGACATGAGTGTGACACCCATTGTCCCCAGCGGCATCCCCACACTCACACACTCCTGCAAAGCAGCGGCATTTTGCGCAAAGTGATCCTTTCCCAAGTCCAGAATAGCTGTGGCCTGTGAGAATGATCCCCGAAGGGGTTTCCTCAGCCAAGTTCTCCAAATAAGACATTTGGACTTTGTTTTGATTAGTGGTGCATCCTTAGATGGTTATTACTGCATGGTGGAGCGTGTGGCCACAGCCGGTGACGTACGCATGACTTCTTTCTGTCTTCAGAAGTTGTTTATGTGACTCAACTGGTGTCAGGTCAGAGTCGAAGACTCGCCCACCACCAGCTGCCGCTGCGTTGTGGATATTTTCATTCTTTTGGAAGGTTGACCTCGTCCGCTGCACACTTGTGAAGGACATGTCAGTAATTGGAGGAGATTATTATTTCGAGGTTGGTCCTCACTGGGGTCACTGAGGACATCATGAGACCTTATGAGCCGTGGGGGTGGTCTCTCTGGTCCTTTTGTATGTCATGGTGAATAGGCACTCGAAAGCACTTTGTCATATTAGAGGAGCAAACCTTTGGCCGCAGCTGGGCGTTACCCAACCCAAAGGATATTTATATTTCTTTCAAATCCAGTGCAGATTTGCTGTTGAGGGTGTCAGCCAGGGCGTGTTGTCTCCAAGGCTACTTGTTTTAGTAAGACAGGTGTGTCTTCTGCGTTTGCACCATCGAGCTCTGCCAAGCAGAATGATGGCCAATTTTTGTGTCAACCGCACAGGCATAAAAAGTGAACCAGCCAGCACTGATAATGGAAAGTAAATAGCAGGGTGTTGGTTTCAAGTACTTTTCCTCCCATTTTATCAAACAACAGGCAAATGTGACGCAAATCTTTTTTTTTTTTTTTTTTTTTTTTTTTTTACACAGGCATAAAAAGTGAACCAGCCAGCACTGACAATGGAAAGTAAAGAGCAGGGTGTTGGTTTCAAGTAGTTTTCCTCCCCTTTTATCAAACAACAGGCAAATGTGACACAAATCTTTTTTTTTTTTGCTCATATGTGACCTGTATTATGTATTATTTTTTCCCCCCAATGACAGTCTGAGCGGCTCAATTGCATTATTTTTCCCTCCCAAATCCAACCGAGCTCACTTTCATCTGTAGTCCCAGATTGGATACGTGTCAGATTTTTCGCAAATAGAGCCAAGTCAAAATGTAGCTTTAGTGCATTATAATCACGCCTTAAAACATTTATGCCATTTAAATGCAGTACATTCATATTGAGCTGAAACTGGCTCAGGTTAATTGCTCTTCTCCAGAGGAATCCTGTCAGTGGCACGTCAAGTTTTGAATGCTGTGATCAGCTGAGTGTTCTTTAAAAAATGAAAAAAATGAACCTTTGATCCTGTTAAATGCCATCATTTGTCAAAGTTTCATATGTCAGTGTACAGTATGTGCATGACTCACCCCTTCCCCTATGTCAACTGAACTATTTGCTCTGAGTCATGAGGAATCTTTAGTTAATAATTATCTTCACCTCAGGTGTTGCATCATGAACATGGGAACACACCATAGCTGCATTGTGAGCAATCGTTTAGCTAGGTTCGATTTGTCTGAAATACTTTTTGCGTAGTCTTGTTTTGTTTGTATCTTGCTGGTTTTTGTCGTTGTTTTTTTTGGGGGGGGCGGGGGGCATTCTGTAATTACAGTTAAGCATTCTGGGAAACTCTGGGGTCGGTCCTCAGCGAAAGCCTAAAAATGTTTTCAGTGATTTGCTTGCAAATTTAGCCCTACTTGGACTTTTCAGCAACCATTCCAGACTTTCTTTAAAGGCTCTAACTCTCCTCTGTTTAGACAGACTATCCCGCTGGGCTTTCTGGGATCAGCTGTAAAGTCCTCCAAGTAGCTTCTTGCCTCCAACAAGTTCCTTTTATGGTTCTAACGTGCTTGTATTTAAAGCCCAGTGTAAACCATCTAAATTGTCCTTTCTTTCCAATGTGGTAAAAAAAAAATTATATGTATCATCTCTTATGCATCAAGATACTTGGATTCTCTTGGATGGTCAAAGAATATCGTCTCTATTTAATCATAGTGAATACGAATCTTGCTCACTAAGCTGCCTAAAAGGATTTATTACATTACCTTAATTGCCTCTTGTTTGAATCTACTGCTCGTTATAAACCGATGCTGTGCTTGAATTGGATTTTAAGGGGGTGGGTGGTGGGGGGGATTAATGTCCACTGTTTTGAGACATCTGGCA